ATACTCAAAAAGAAAAAGAGAAAGGGAAAAAAGAGAAAAAAAGAGAAGAGGAAGAAAGCACAGTTGAGTCACGACTCCAAGTCCAAGCCTAGAAGCTGGCTAGCCATAAAAATAAACCTTTAGAAGTCTCTTGAATGATCTGTGGCAGGCGAGGGACTTGAACTCTTGGGGCAGGGCGTTCCATAATCTAACGGAGGAAACGAGCGGCCGGCAGTCACCAGAGACTCGCCCGGTGGCAGGGACAACGTACGCATTTGGATCGTTGATCCGAGTGACGCCTTCAGTCTGGCGACGTAGGCGCTTGGACAGGAGATTACTAATTCTGGCGGTGTGGATGCGAAGCATGAGGAGGCGGAGTTTACAGTGGGCGGTGTTGTAACTCAGTTACCTTTCTTGTGAGCTTTTTTTCTCCTTTCTTCACTAGTACAAATACTGTATATCTATGTACTAGCTACTCCGTTTGCCCGCATTACCCAAAAATACTGTCTACTCCGATCGCTAAAGTAAAAGGTCGCTGAAACTTCGACAAAATCGCTAAATATATTGGTCGCTAAAATTACTCGTTCTCATGTGTTTTCTTCTCTTCTCGTACAGTGTCACTACACTGCACCCACGCATGACGTATTTTTTAGGGCTCAAACGGTTAGTCCGATTAACCGGCTGCAGACCGGTTAGGAAGAATTAACGGATAACCGATAAAGATAACGGTTACGCAGTAACTTTTCAGTCAATTTTTCAAGTATCAGGTCATTGCAAAGTATGCATTTTCGCAGGCTGTCGCACGCATACGCAATTTCTGGGCTGTCAACTCGGTCATATCTGGTCTCTTGGTGTGAGAGTATGTATGAATGAGCAGAGTATGTATGAATGAGCATGCAAGAGAATGTACATGTGTGCGTTGTACTGAAAAGGGTACATTTTTTGAATGAGTATAGTCAAATATACGGTTAAAAAAGAGTCCGCAGGATTGCCGCGGCTTATAGGTTATAACCGTTAAACCGACCGTTAGCTTAGCAGTTAACTGTTAGGGGTAAGACCGTGACCGTTTGAGCTCTAGTATTATAGAGCTTGAAAGTGCTACGTCACAGCATAGCAACAATTTCAAAAATTCAAAAACTGGATCCACTTGGATCCAGTTTTTGTATGGATCCAAGCACATTTCAAGCCGTCTTACTCACCGCAAGGTGATGACTGTAGCCAGTGAAACTGACTGATTTGGCTACTGGGGGCGGGGTTACAACTGGTGTCGAAGTAAAAGTCACCCCTGCATACGACATGAGTGGGTTGTTATGCACCCACATACTGAGGCAATACAATAAGAAAGTCACACCTTGGTGGATCCAAAATAGAAATCTGATGTCAACTTAGTACTCCCTGGCCGTTTTTGACGTCATCACTTTCAAGCCCTATTACGTCGTGAGTGTACATAGCGTACAAACGCGATTTGCATGAACCGCGTGAGTTCAAGCTATCGTAACTCGGTCAATTCTTGGCCGATTCTCACGATCGAAATATGTATCTGCAAGGGAAAACTCTCAACTTGTGATAGAAACAATCGCCGAAGCGGTACGACCTCGGGTTGTTGAGATATGCGACTCGACACGGCAAATTCTGCTCTAGGGAAACTCTAACGTCTTCAGAACCGTGCCATCCGCGCTGTGTTCAGCCTACCACCCACATCTTCAGTAAAAAAAAATCGAGGAGACACAACACCACCGACTCCTCGATCTCATCTGGCGCGGCCTGAACGGCCAATGTAGTACAGCGCTTTGAAAGCAGCTGACGCCCGCAACCACGGCCCCAACTCACAAAAAAAAATAAAAAAATAATGGAAGTCGCGAATTTCATCAGCTCGAACGTCAGGTGTCTGTTCAACAAGATGGACGAGCTTAGCTACGCGCGATAAATAGAGCACAATAAACGTTAAAGGGGAAGTATACCCTAAAATCAAATTTTCACCAGTTGTAGTCTTCGGGGTGCTGAGTCGAATGGTCTTGGTCCGAGGAAGCTGCGACGCTCCCTTCCTACTTGAATCCCAATCGAACTCGCGCACTTCCACCGAAACTGGGTGACTGCGCCCTACTAGATGGGGATTTGTATGCAAAATGTCACTAAAAGCGCCATTTCGTTCTTATAAAAGCACGGATGACCGCGATTGGCCCATATGTTGTAGTCTTTTGGACGCTGAGTCGACTGGTTTTGGTCCGAAAAGGCTGCGATGCAGCGTTCCTCCTTTATTCCCAATCGAACATGGTTGAACAAGCGGTCACGTGCTCCTGGGTGCCCAAATCACCTGGTCACCGCGCCAGCAGGCGACAACTTTCACACCAAGGTTCAACTCGAGTTCAACTCGAGTGACAGGACTGCACCCAAAAAAGGTCAAACAGGCTAGTAAGTTGTACCCTGCAGGCACGGTGACCAGGTGACTGGTGTACGCAGGAGCACGTGACCGCTTGTTCAACCATGTTCGATTGGGAATAAAGGAGGAACGCTGCATCGCAGCCTTTTCGGACCAAAACCAGTCGACTCAGCGTCCAAAAGACTACAACATATGGGCCAATCGCGGTCATCCGTGCTTTTATAAGAACGAAATGGCGCTTTTAGTGACATTTTGCATACAAATCCCCATCTAGTAGGGCGCAGTCACCCAGTTTCGGTGGAAGTGCGCGAGTTCGATTGGGATTCAAGTAGGAAGGGAGCGTCTCAGCTTCCTCGGACCAAGACCATTCGACTCAGCACCCCGAAGACTACAATTGGTGAAAATTTGATTTTAGGGTATACTTCCCCTTTAACTTGACCGAAGGATAAAGGCGCCTGCAGATAGCGGAACACATCGAGGTACAGGTACCGGCATCAATACAGTATCAGAGAGAAACAAACAAAAATGAGAGGTACGCAGAAAAAACTCTCGTAAGCCCAAGGGGAAGTGGTTGATGAGGGATGAATGCACCCTCCACGCTCATCTACACCGTTCGTGGAAATGCACACATACATACAATTATATACAACATAGCAATAGCATGCACAGAACCGAACAATTTGATGTTCACACATGCAAGCACAGACCTGAACATTAGTACCAAACGCCGATACAGACAATATCCCCATACACACAGACGCACACACACACACACACACACACACACACACACACACACACACACACACACACACACACACACACACACACACACAATGTCCCATGTATGCGCCCGTGGCGAGAAAAGCATGCAAATCTACAAATGCTCTGGATGTAAACCTACAGATTTTCTCTTATAGCAACGATAGCGGATCTGATTCTGAATGAAACACACACACACACACACACACACACACACACACACACACACACACACACACACACACACGCACACACACAATACAATCATTGAATGCCCATCCTCAGGTGAAGGCAGGTCCTGAAAGAACAGGCAGTGTTCCAGTAATGGGTAACAGAACTTCGAGTGGCGAGTGAGGTATACACACACACACACGTACGTGCGCGGGCACATACTAAAGTATTCAGAAATAGAATCGACATTGTAGTATTCATTGGTTGGGGAATGGAAAGGAAAATAAAACATTGCTGTAGGTTATTGTTGTAAGGACACTGGGAGCACAACAGAAAGGTAAGCAACTTGCTTTGAAGCAAAGCAAGTTATTATTCCACGGATCTCAGAAGGAAGGAACGTTCCAGAATGCTGCACTGGCAACAGGCGGCCTGCATGTGCGCGGCCCCTGCAGTCGGTCCAGCTGCCGGCCTTGCAGTGCTGAAAAGAATGTGCAGTACAGCATGTCACATAGTATCGCAGCCTGGACAAATAGGAGCTGGGAAGTCCTAGTTATGTGCTCACCTACACCACGATGCACCAATCTTCTGAGCTACTTTGGCAACAACTTTGTCCCCTTGAGACTCCCATGGGCTGAGCCAGTTGTTGAGGGCTGCACCAAGGTGGACGGCAATGACCGCTGATGGCAAGGCAATCCATGACACACAGTCACTAGGGCATCGTCAACATGGCGCTGAGGCTGGATCGATAAAATCAACTTTTAGGCTGTCGCGGGGTTGGCAACGAGGCCGCTGTCTCGAAGCAAGGTAGTCAGCCTGGTCACCACCATTGACGAACCAGTCGCCACCGCCAGCAGTGGCGGTAGGTTGTGACAAGTGTGGTGCAATATTGTCAGCAAATTCAGTACTTAGGATAAGATGAGTGACAAAGGGAACGTTGTGTTTGATAATATTGAAGTGAACAGGGATGATCACAAACCCTGCGCGTACTCCACCGTGAGTTACAAGAAAATTCCGGACTGGACCGGCGACGAGCAAACACCAACCTGCTACATCCAACCAGGCAGATACTATTACGATAGCTGCCAAACCAGGTCAATGCCGACCTACTGCATAATGTCAATGTCAAACAGATCCTGCAGGAGAAGACTGGGGTGTTGGCGTCCAGTCACTGAGTGTACAGACACCAGTCACATTTCCTGTGTTTTTTGCAGCATACAGGCTGAGACTCATCACTGTAGAGTCCACTACTGCATGAGTTTTATTTGTACAATACATGGCAGGCGTACACGGTGTGCCTCGCAGGACTGCGAGATGCTGCAGAAGACCAGGTTCGACCTTTCTGGACCGCCATTCACCGACGGTGGGCTACACGATGCTGGAGGAACTAGATTCCAGTGAAAACCCAAGATTCCTTTGCTCCTGGACCCTCCGACGTGTTGTGATATCTGCCAGGTGCGCAGTAACTACAGTCCATTTCAAAACTATAGACGCGTACCTAGGCAAAAAACGTTATGCCAGCATCTATACCACATGAAATCTGTGATCACTTTGTGCATAATTTTTTCCAAATTGGGCGTCTGTTATCCAATCCTTTAGAAACTATATGAGAGTAATTGTGGAGCGATCCTGAGCAATATTCCGAAAACTATTCTCAAAAAGTTCCAGCCTAATTTGAAATATTTCAAAAACCCTACGCGTCTATAGTTTTGAAATTCACTGTAGTATTTTCATCGCTACAGCGAGGACGACGCCGATCGGCAAACTCTCGCTTACAGCCATCACCAGCCTCTCAAAACCATCACTTGGCATCCCCCAGAGGTACAGGAGAAAGCCAAAAAAGCTCACAAGAAACAAAAGCTAAGGACGATGGAAAGAGAGCATGTAAAAAAGAAGACGAACAGTATGAAGTTCAAATGGTTTTGAACACTCGTACTACCAACTATACCACTTTCAATATATCGTGACGCCATTTTGTTTTAACATGAATATCGCGGATTACATGGTTCAAAAGATTATTTTCATTATAAAGTTGAGGGATTTGAAATGGAAATTTCAAGTCCTCAGAATATTAGGGATGACCAGGCTAGCTGAGTTGGACATTAAGCTGCAGCGAACCAGTTGCCTACTGGGTGATATGACATTGTGTCAGTTGTTTTTCAGCTATTTAATTTATAGGAAAAATATTGCCCAGCGGCATGAAACTCAGCATTAGAATCAACCTGAGCGTCCTCCACTGATCCAGCTAGGTACTAGGGAGGATATAGTGATTGTAGCAGCATTGTCTCTCTCCGCACTGTCTCGGGTAGGAGATGAAATGCAACGGAAACCCTAAAACTAAGGGCCGGGTTCCTCTGCGGCCCCGCTGCTCGTCTTTCGCCGCTTGAACGTCATCATTACCATAGTGACCGTTGCTCGAGCTGGAGCAGCGAGGCCGCGGCTCACCGCGAGCTTTCACTACGATTCTTGACCAAAAACTGCGAGCCGCAGTCGCGGCTCGACCTCTTTCCCATACCTTGCATTGATTTGTACGCCAGAATTTTAATATTCAAATTTTAATTCGTTGCGCAGGCCAGAACACGAGGATTTTTTGGATTTCACGCGCAGGCAGGTGAAACGTCATCAAAAAGTGTGGACCACGACCGCGATACCGCGAATGGCGAGTGTCAGTGGAACCGCGCTGCTCCACTGCATGCAGCCAAGTGCCGCGGAGCAGCAGAGCCGCAGTGGAACCCGGCCCTTAAGGAGCATCAAAAAAGTGTGAAGCCACAGCCCAATCATCGGAAACAGTCCCTCTGGCTTTTGAAAGTCCGATTAGGGCTGAATTGAGGATCAAAAAACCATTCGCAAAACTCTGGATTTGGGATCTGCTTCTCCATACATGTTGCCATGGCATACCTGTCCTAATTTTGTAAAACCTGGCTGAATTTCAATTTCCCTGTTCTTGGACTTTTCTGGCCTCAAATGTGGCAAGGAGTAATTGCACGGGTCATACAACACAGGATGTACTGTTGTTTTCATGATATCTACAACTATGTGCGGGAGACACGGAAAAGTTAATTAAGGGTGCCAGTTTGCAATGAACGGACCGTACAGTACTGAGTGAAAATATGGGCAGAGGGCTCATAGTGTTGAAGCATTGTTGCGAGCTGGTCTCCTCATACATCTTCTTGTTAGTTTGTTTTGTTTGCCTGTTTGTTTGTTTCCTGCTGTCTGCCTACTCCCTGCCTGTTCACCCTCCCACCCGCTCGCAACTGCGTGCTTGGTCGTCTGCTTCCCAGGGGAATACTTCTGCGTGCGGTCTATTGATCCATACGGAGCACCCATGGTCCACTATCCTAACACGACACTGGACAACATCGAAAAGACCAAGACGTTTTGCGTGGCGCAAGGAGGCCGAGCTGCGATCGACACACCCGATGAAAGGCACTGTATTGCGGAGTTCAGGGACATAATTCACAAAGAGACAGGTCACTGGGAAGAAAACCTGGTGAACCAGGTGTGCGTTTTCGGTCCTCGTGAGTTGATCTGTCGGTAATATACGTTTCTTGTGTTGCTTTGCCGGTTCTCCACAGGCTTCAGCGTAAATGGCGAGCTTCTTTCTCTATCGGGAACTCGTCATTAATTTATTCTTTAATTAAATGCAACATGTCAACTTCAAGTCTCAGTTTTAGAACACCGGCCATTTTTTGTTTGTTTATTTTATTTTACTTCACCAAGTGAACAGGCATTTCTGCCTTCTCACCAGATCCGGAGACCTAGTTCCGACTAAATGATGAAGAGTGAATGAAAATGTATGCATAAAATGATTAAAATCATGCAGAAGGTTGTAATGAAAGCGGATACAAATGATTGAATCACGATACGTGGAGCATGAGTGGGTGTTATCCAACCACGGTAGATTACCAGGGCTTCGAGGGAAATATAAAGTAGCAATGTGATTGCTTTTTAGCTTCTGGCCACTTTGAATACTAAACCGGTAGTTGGGATTATGGCTTGACTAAATGGCAAGCGAGGGCATTGTTTTGTTTAAAGAATACAAAGGCATACATCGTGGTGAAAATGCAATAATAAATTATGTGCTTGTAGTTTACAGTGACGGTCTTGGCCAGAGAATCTTGATCTCGTGAACGAACTAGCGCCAGCAGGACATGCTGACACCACACACCCATCTCTGTGACTCTCCTGGTCGCATGCGCATGTGCACACTTGATCATGCACGGCGCTATTTTGTTCACGAGGCCGGGTTTCCGTGGGCACAAGCGATACTCTCAGTATCAGAACTGAATGCTATTGGCATAGCTCTGCAGCACGATGAACTTGATGTGGTGATTTTTATATGTAGAAAGGAAAAGGACGTATGGAAACGAGTTAAGAGTAACTCTCCACCACTGGTACTACAGTAAAACCTGTAACTAAAGCCCACCGTGACTAGCGACCAGCCTACTACTGCAGACCACTTCGCCAGGCACGGACGGTCTCACATTCCAAATGCCCTGTGACTAGCGACTACCTGCTGAACGCGACCAGCAACCGCCTTTTCTTGTCCCAAAGACGATTTTTGACCCGTTACTAGCGACCGCGATGTAGGAATCAAATGTTACTCGAAGCTCCTTCCTGAAATGTTTGCTAAATTTCCACGGTCCTAAAAGAAATCCTTCGATACTACAGCCGGACAAATGAACACAGGTCATTTTGACTGTGGAGTCGGTGTGGACTGCACTACATCTGTCAAATTTGCAAGCGCTGTCAAGAATATACAAGATAGGAATTTTTCTGTGCATGTGTTTGTGGATATATGTGTACATTATGCATGATTGGTGTGTGTGTGTATGTGTATGTATGTGTGTGTGTGTGTGTGTGTGTGTGTGTGTGTGTGTGTGTGTGTGTCGACCTCACACACACAATCCCGCAACGTCGACCACTCCTCATTGGCGCCTGACTGCCGGGGCCATTGCTGTAGGCCGGTGGACATACTATCTCGAAACTTCTCACGAATAGCATCCCTTGTCAACACCTCCACAGCAGCCACGGCTTTTCGTCCTCCAGATGTAGGCGGGCGAGCTCGGCGCGGCTGAGCAGCACTGATACGAAGCTTGATGCGAACCATGAAATGATCGGTGAAACAATTGGCACCGCGCGAAACGGAAACATCCTGACAATGCCAACGCTGAGACTGCCGCATGAGCACCATGTCGATAAGATGAGGGAGTCTGGTGGCGGCGTGAGTCCATGTACCACGCCGATGGTGAGGCTTTCGATACCACGTGTTCATAATGGACAGCTGGTTTGTAGCACACCACATCAGCAGCCGTTCTCCTGCTGCATTACACTGTCCAAGGCCTGCCACGAACATCAGACCACATATCACCAGAAGCAGGCTGAACACCCACACGCGCGTTGAAATCTCCCAGAACAATTTGAATGTCATCACGTGGTACTCCGTCCAGTGTAGTCTGCATGTCCGCGTAAAATTTATTTTTCGTTGGCAAACTGGTCTTACTAGTGGGAGCGTAACAATTGATAATAGACAGGAACAAGTCCGACCGTCTCCTCCACCGCTGCGAGGGCACCCAATCACCCGCGTCCGCCAGTTTGAGTCGCGCCACCACTATTCTGTCAATTCGCCCACGAATGAGCCGGTGTCTCTTGGTGAGAGCACCATCGAGGCCGTTGACAGTTTTACGTACCTTGGCAGCGTCATCCATCGGAACGGGCAGTCTTCGCATGATGTACAGTCCCGTCTCGCCAAGGCTTCGCGTGTGTTCGGCAGTCTCCGCGTTCCAGTGTTTGAGAATCGGTCGTTATCTCTCCGCTGTCGGCGCCGCGTGTACATCGCCCTTGTGCTGACGACCCTCCTGTACGGAGCAGAGACGTGGACGCCGAAGGCACCGGACCTGCGCTCTCTCAACACCTTTCATCACCAGTGTGTTCGCATCATCGTTGGCGTATCCAGGCGGGACCAGTGGGACAACCGCGTAACCTCGGTTACCATGGCCCGAACCCTCGGCATTGACTGTGACGTCGCGGACATCATCCGGGAATATCGACTGCGTTGGCTTGGCCATGTTGGCCGGATGAACGACGACCGCATGCCGAAGCGAGTTTTGTTTGGGGAGCTCCCTGCGACACGCCCTCGCCATGGTCCACGCAAGCGGTGGCGTGACGTCATCGTGGATGATCTCCGCTCCATCAGCCCCCCTGTGCCTTCTGACTGCTGGTTTGATGCTGCCCAGGATCGCTCTGCCTGGAGGCAGATTGCTCATCGTCGTCCTCCCGCCCGTGCTCCTCCTGATCCTGACTCTGGCTTCCGCTGCGCATGTGGAAAGGTCTACCGTCGTCCCGGGGACCTCAAGCGCCACGCTCCGTACTGCAAAGCTAGCGGATAGTCCCTTCGCTATCATTGCCATCGGCAATGGGCACGTTCAAGGTTCAAGGTGTGTGTGTATGTGTGTGTGTGTGTGTGTGTGTATGTGTGTGTGTGTGTGTTGTTGTTGTTGTTGTATACTTTATTTATAGTGGAAATCAAAACAGGCAAAATGCCTAATAACATTGGACCCACTGTGAATAAAATGTTAAAGGATATTGTGGAAAAGTAGATATAAGAGAAAAAGAGAAAGGAAAAAAAACGGAAGGTTGGTTGCACCGAATACAGTGACGCTTGGTTATAACGACAGATCAGCTACAACGACAAAAGATCCATGGCGGCAG